CAGAAGTTTGTGAATAGGTGGAGCCTGTGGGAAAGACTCACATTGGAGCAGGTTTTTAATGATTAAATTTGATTTTACCGTTTTGCAAAAATGTAACTGAACATTTAATCTTCAGAAGAAATTCTTCTGTTCCTTTTAATTCACTGCAATGCATGGCCAGTTGGATTGAAGTTAACTTGGCTAACATTATGCTGAAACAGATGAGGAAATCCTTGTATCCTGAATTCTGCTGGCTTAGCAACATCACATTCTATGGGACTGGCAATTTTTGGCAAAAGAGTAATGCTAACAAACAGTTGGGAGGCAGCAACTTCAGCTTCCACAGATGTTCCAGCAGTGAATAGCAGCTCAAGGCAGAAGTTTTGATGCTTAAGTGATGGAATGTTTATCTTTACCGGAAATTTAGCTCCTAAAATGCATAGATACCTTTTCTAAGTGTTATTCATTAAACATAATCCACTGGCTTATGTGACTTGTAATTATATTATTATTATCTTTCAGGAAAAACTGACTTGCTGTACTTAGTAAGGTACATCAATGAAAATAAAAGTAAAGCTTTTCCAACTAAATTGCTAAAAGAGAATATTAAGTTTCAATAACTTTTCATTTTTTAGTGATAATCACTTTTAAACTGATTCTACAACATTCTTAGTACACTGGTATTAACTATGGTTGAAGATGCTCAACTCTGCAGGACAGTTCACTCGACACCTTTTACCATATTACATAATAAACATCTCTTTTGAAATGTAATATGGGTGGGAATATCTATCCCTAGATGTAAATCAGAGCTATTTTTTCCTGCTCTTTAACAGAGCCTTGAGATTCATATATATCTTTCTTTTGTTTCTAAGAACATGATATAATATTTCTGATTTCTAATCAGAATTAATTGTTCACTCAAGGGGATGTAACAGAGAAAAGTTGTAATGATTTATGATAATGAAACATTTTACTTGTAAAAATTGTTATATATGATTTTCTTTTTCACATGAGGACACTTTCTTCTAAGGTATTTTCAGAAGAAATTTCTGAAGGAAATATTTACCAGCCAAATGTTTTTGAAAATGATTAGCTTCTGTTTCAGATCTGATGTACTAAATTTTGTATTGAACTAAAAAAAAGAGCTGCACAGATGTGTAACAAAGAATCAAGGGCATTTCTGTATATCTGTTGAAGCGAGTTCATATTTAATCATCAGGTTCTTGGCAAGAATATTTCTGCAACCTGTCACTGGAAGATATATGAGTTTAGAAAGGGAGTTAATATAATTATCTCATTCTCTAATCTCAATAATAAAATAATTGAGTTGTCTAAATGCCTTTCAGTGTAAAACCAATGGTAGATCTGTAGTTACACATAGAAACTTTAGCTTGTCATTCTGATGGAATCTGCCTGTTCTCTGAACTACTTTTCTTCCTGGGTGAAATGGTTGCTTTCTATCAGTTTTTGTTATAATGCCTCCAGCTGGTGATTTTATTTACAAATTACAGGAAATAGTAACTATAGTAAAAAGACCTTTTGCAGGTCTCCCTTTAGCTCTGGCAGCAGAACAGTTGACTTATAAAGAAAACACTGTTTGTGACCAGGCAAACAACTGAGGGCTCCAGGTAGGCCAGTTGTTACCTTTGCTGGAGGGCTGGAAGTGGCAGCTATGGAAGCAACATATTTTGGATATTGATACACCAGGCAAGGTGGGTGAGGCATTTTGAGAGCATCTGGTTCTCTGGATGGATGGACACACAGATGGAGAAGTTCTGAGTGACTGAACATCACTGAGGTTATTCAGCAAGCTGGCACAAATTTGTTTCTCAGCGAGGAAGCCTGCAGGAGAGCTGAAGGCCATTACAGCTGAAAACCTGGAACTGAAAAGATGGAAGGTAGTAGGGGAATACAAAGAAAACTATATTAATTAATATTATTTTTAGGAGATTAGCTTTCACATTAAAATCTTAAGGAGTTATAGAGGAAGTTTATACATTAAGAAAAAGTAGGACACCAAATAAAAGTACCTTACTTCATTTACAATCCAAATGAAAGTACATAAAATGTTTTTTTTTTTCTCAATTTATGATGATCTTAGAAATTAGGACTCATCCTACAAATATAAATCATTACAATGGGACCAACAAAGTAATAATTGTTTGTTTCACAGTAGCTGTCACAGGATAGTGTCTGCTAAATTATATTCAAATTAATGAAAACTTGAATTATTTACCTGTTGAACAGCACATTGAATTGTCCTTTTGAAGAAGGCTAACCATAAGCCAATGGCATTTAGCTTATCCCTCCTGTCCCTCCTGCTTTCCCAATTTATAAATTCCCTGATTTTTGGCAATTTTTGGTTTTGTACTTAGGCAGTATAATTTAGCATCATAAATAGCTGTGACTGGCAAGCAGTGTGTAACTGATAATGTATCCAGCAGTTTCTTTTATGTTCTGGGTGATTGTAAACAAAGAATAAAACTGATTATTTCAGCAAATGTAGCAATAGTCACAAAATTTGGTTTTAATTTTAGATTTTTGTCTATAGCCAATAGAAAAAGGATGGCACTTTGTATTGGTTAACCTCTACTGAGGATGGAAGGAGCCAAGAACTACCATAACTACACTTACAAAAGGTTCCCATGAATATCTTTGTTAGCACATTGTGTGACTGTGGAAAAAGAGTTGGAAAAAGAGTTGGATTTGTGTATTGCCTGCAAGCCCATCATTTCACTGCTGAGTACTTTATTTATCCATTCGCTGTGAAAGATGCAGTTTGTTGTCATGTTTGATTGTTAAGACTTTTTACAAGGTCTCTTAAGGCCTAACTCCATTTGGAATAACTTTAAGGTTATTCTGTCCTTAAGGCAGAAGTAGTAGGACTGTGTTTTCACTGGAGCGTGGGTAACATACAGGAAGACAGTGTTGCCAGTGAACTAAACTCTTCAGTGTGGAAAAAAAAGAGAGTCCCAGTGAGCAGAACTTTGCTCATTTACTCCCTGCAGAGAAATGACATTTGTTCTCCACAGCATTTTCTCTTGAGAGGACCAGTTATTGGCTTATGTCACAAGCAGTCTACCATTCCTCAGTGATATATTCCTTAAGGCATACATGGATCATTTTCGATACTCAGTGATCCAAATTTCCCTCTTATTGATTGTATGAATGTGTGGTGGCTGCAAGAACAGAAACTGTTCTTGAGTATGTGTTAGAGTTCATTTGGTTTTCTTCTGATGCAGTGCTGCAAGGTGTTGCTCCCTCTAGGTGTTTGTGTGTATGTATAGACATATATATGTTTATATGAATAAAGGCCTCCAGTGACCTTTTACTATTAATTAGCTGATCCTAATTCTACCCAGGCCTCTGCTACTGATACAGACTTATAGAGTCTGTCTAGATAATCAGAATATCAATAGATAATCAGAATGGCAAAAGTTGCCCTTCTTCCTTTACCCACTGCAGCTGGTTTGAGGGTAAGTAGCAGACAATAAATATAAAAAACAGACAATATGTTATTAATATATATAGACTAACTTCTTGTTGCTTCAAGGATGTTTAAAGCAACCAAATTCAAGACAAGTTGAGGGGCAAAAAATTAGAATGACAAAGTGATGTTAAAATTAGATGGCAAGTGTATGGGCACATCCCCACTGTCCCCCTATTATTGGAGTTCTCTGGTGACATCACATTTGTTTCACTCCTACAATAAAACTTGTATTCCCTTTTCTAGGTAAAGTTTTAGTGTTTCTGCTCTATTTTGCTTTCTGAAGGAGCCATTGTAGATGTTAACTATAGAAGAATGCAGTAAAATAATTAAATGCTCTTGTACCTGTTGTGATGAGAAAATACCCTAAGGTTGGCTTGGGCCAAGTGTCAGCTCAGTGTCAGGAATACACCCAGTGTGATACACTCAGCTGGGACTTGCATTGTTATTATTGAAGCACTTCTGTATTGCAATACAGTTATTCCAGAATAGAGCATGAGGGGAAAAATAAATAATTCAAAAATAATCTAAAATATTAGGAAGGTAACCCATTTATGAACTTACTCCAGCCTAGGCTCATGGCTTTTTTAGCCTCCCTGGTTAAATATACTAAGCCAACTGTTCTGGTGCTTTAAACAGTACATTAAACAACTTAATCATACTGTCCTCTCTTGCATTAATAAATTTAGCGTTTGTATTCGTGAAGCAGCTGTTTTCTTCTCTTGCTCTACTTTAGCTCTTCTTCAGAATACAAATTCCAGCTCATTTCCATTTTTTCCAGACCTAGGACTTTAAAAGTTTTGTTCTCCTGTTTGGTTTTTAACCCTCTAGACCAATAGCTGAGTGCTTTGAGGACCACTCTGTTATTTTTCAAATAAATATTCACTTTGCTGTTAAATATTTCCCAGTATTCTTGATCATCCTTCTGGAAGGAAGGTGTTCTGGGACAATATATGTGAGACAAAAGAGTTTGTTCCTTTTCTTGAATTTTACAATATTGATTGCTTTCCTGCAGAACTAATTGCCATGTTTTCAAGGTAAGTCCTCATTCTGATTGCATATTAAAGGATAAGACAGTCTATAGAGATGGCACTTTTAAGATGGAAATTAATAGGGTCTGTGCTTTGTCCTTCAGAAAACCGTGGATCATGTATTTGGCAGTTGAAATTTTTTGTCCTAGTTGCATATACTGATATCTTCCCCCATACCCCAGCTGCAGAATGAACTACTGCAGAGTGAAATCTGCTTCTCTTTAAAATGTGGAAAAGATTGCTTAGAGGTGGTGAGTTTAAATATCAGGTTTAGATCAAATTACTTAAAATGAATATTTTTTTATCAAGACTTTTTTTGTTTTGTTTTGTTTTTGTTTTTGTTTAATTCTGGGCTTGTAGAGGCTGTAAAAACTAGGGGTTTCACCAGAAGATCAGATGTGCCACAGCCAGGACAGGTGACCCCAGCTGACCAAAGGGATATCCCAGACCATGTGATTTCGTGTTCAGCCATAAAAACTCTATGTAATTTGTCTTCCCAGATAACTGTTACATCAGTGAAGCCCTGCTTTGTAGAACATTGGTTTGGGAAGTCTCACCTGGTCTATCATTGCAAGGAACCATGTGACAAACTCCTGTTGCCACCCAGACAGCCACCAACCACCCTGTGAAAGAGATTTGATTCCAGCATGTAAGTGTTACTCTATGCCAAGATGATGATTGGTTTTATTATCATTATTCATTTGAACAAGCAGCGTCTCTGTGTAGCACAGGATGCAGCTGGGGAACCACATAACAGGTTAGAAATTCATTTTGTAGAACTCCTTTGCTTTAACCTACTACAGAAGCAGACTGCTGACTAGACCTTGAGACTGCATTTTTAATGTGCTTACTACAGTGGATGTTGTGTGACGGTGTCTGAAAGTGCAGGAAGGAGCAATTTAGCAAGAATTGCTTGTAGCTTCTTGTTTTAAACACAGCCTTCCAGGAGTTTTGCATACTATTGCCAGGCCAAAACATCATTTGAACGCTGCAGGAATTAGCATAACGTGCTCCACAAAGACTTTAAGGAAGCTGTCTAAAGTTCTAACACTGCTAATGCTTGAGGAAAAAACTTTTGCAAACACTGCAGGATACTGCAAATGGCAGCACTGGAATCTATTTTATTTTAGCTGACTCCCTTCTAGTGCTCTCCTGTTATTTTTCTTCAGATCCTGCTTTTGTGTACTACACAAAGGGAAGCGTATGTTTTGTTTATTGCCTTTACTGTGCCAGCCAACATGCAGAATAAGAATGACTGATGTTCTCTGAGCTTTCTTATCTTTCATGATATGATTTCTTTAACAGCCATTCTAACTCTTTTCCCTACATATTTTGGTGCTGAATGCAATTCATCATTTCACATCTTTTTTTTTTTCTTATTGCCTTCTCTGCATTTTCTACTTTTTCTGACTTAGAGGACAGCAAAGTTGTAACAATCATGGTTAAGAAAAGGAAAGGAAATGAGAGCTCTGTATTATTGTCAATACAGAGCTGTTTTATCACAGCAGATATTCAATAAACCTTTACTAGAAACCTACATTTTCTTTTATCAGCTCATTATTAAGGAAAGTTTTGGATCTGAGAGTCTTTCTGCCATTGTTGCCCTTACCCCCCCCAAAAAATAAATTGGGGAGTGGGGGGGCAGAAGATTTCAGTCTGGTCCAAGAAGGACCATACTTGGAAACAAGTGACAGATTTGCATTTCATTCTGCTTTTTAATTCCTTGTTTCCTTAGCTGAGTATTTGAAGGTTTTGATGCTACCTGTTGGCTGGACAACTGGAATGCCTCCATCAAACCTACTTTACAATAAGCCACTTCATAACCATAATTTCAGAGTAAGTGTCAGTTTGTTGTACTGAGTTTTGCTATTGATAAAAAGGTGAAGGCATTTTAATTGCATTATGCTACTTATGGATCAGGCTTTTAACAGGACTGAATTGATGCAGAGATTGTTAGAGAGGAAGAGTGATGGTGTTTACACTGAGGAGGTTAAAAAGCCCAACTTCCAATTATAAAGTCGTTTTGCTGCCTTTAGAAGGTCACTACCTGTATACAGAAGTTACAGCAGAGGGTGTCAATGAAAAGGAATGAGTGGAAGTGATTTTTATTGAAGGCACGCAGCAGGTCAGCAGGAGAGTGAGGAATAAATTTCAAATCTTGTGAGTCCCAGCCCAATGTCTTTGCAGCAAATTCTGCTGTTCTGGGAACATCATTACTTACTGAACAGACCAGAAGGTAAATGTTGGGTTGCACACACTGTGTCAGGTGCCAATCACTGCTCTCTGGTTTAAAAAAAATACCCAAACACAACACTGTATTAAACCTAATTAACCTTGACCTATCTCTGATTAAAAGAAACTCCATGAAAGATGAAATGTCACCTCTTCTAGCATTTTATGATCTCTTCTGAAATAAACACACTTGGAGTAATGGGAGAGCAGTCCCTGAGAGCAATAGAAATGTATCACACACTGAAGGACTGGGTTGGGCAGGAGGAGTCTGCAGACTTCTCTCAAGTTTCCTAGTTCTCAAGATTTGGGGAGTGTTGGGTTGTTTTGTTTTTTTTAATTGCCTATTGTGTGTGTGGTTTTTATTTTTTATTCGATCTGTCTCTATTTTTGTTTCAAAAGCATCACCTTTTCAAACAAATATTTTTCCACTTTTCCCATTTTTTTTCCTTCACCACTCGTAAATCACTTGGAGTGTGGTGTTTTGATTTGTAAACCAACGCTCAGAAACCAAAATCATAACTTGTGATTATGGTGCTCAAACAATTCTGCAAAGAACCCTTTAAAGTTATCAAAAGAGTTGCAAATGTGTCACTCATTATTTATACAAAATGTATATATGCATTCACTGAAATAACTAAAAAATCAGCTAAAATTATTGTTCCTTTTTAGAGATTTACAGCACATAGAAGAGATTTCAGAAGTACTTGGGGAAAAGATCTGGCAGAGACTGTGTAGATTAAGAGTCTAATACAAAATGTGGAAAAGCTTGTCTAGCTTTCATTAATGCCATCTTCTCACTTTGTCCCTGTTCCCTCCCAGAAGGCCAATCTGTAAGCACAGACAGACAACTGTGAAGCAATTTGCAGCTGGCTGGCAGGCTGCAAAAAACCAAACTGAATATCTAAAGTTTATATGGAAAAAAAAAATTAAAGTCAGTTCTACTACACCACCAAGGTCATGAGACACTTGAAAACCAGACCAGAATAACAAATATTCAATCACAACTTAAACTACTCAAAAATTATTACTTTCTTAATTGGAATTGAAAAACATAATTCTGTATCATATGAAATACAAAAGGCTCTTTTTTTTCAGGAAGAGCTTTCCCATATACTAATGTATTTGGATTTCCTTTTGGAATGGATATTTTGATGGGATAGAAGAACATAAAATCACAGAATGGTTTGGGTTGGATGAGACCTTAAAGACCATCCACTTCCAACCCTCCTGCCACAAATAGAGACACCTTCTACTAGATTAGGTTGCTCCAATCTCCATCCAACCCGACCTTGAACACTTCCAGGGATGGGGCATCCACAGCTTTTCTGGGAAACTCGTGCCTGTGTCTCAACACTCACAGAAAAGATTTTCTTCCTGATATTTAATCTAAACCTGCCCTCTGTCAGTTTAAAACCATTCCCCTTGTCCTGTCACTATCTGCCCACATAAACAAGTCCCTCTCCCTCCTCTTTATAAGCCCCCTTAAGGTACTGTAAGGCCACAGTGAGAAGGTGGAGAACATTCATTGTGGTTCAGCTGGACATGGCCCTGATCACCCACAAAGCATGGAGGAAAAGAAAGAGTTTTAAGAATCAAAACAGTTTTACAGACCAATAGTTCTCTAACATCTCCCCTGTGCTTCCCCTCTAAGTATCATAATCAATTATGTTAACAGGTAGGGATGAGAACTGAGTTGCTGTTTTGATAATTATAATTACTGTGGTGGCCAGTCTATCAGTGTGGTTTTTCTTGCTTTACTTTTCTGTCACATATCAGAAGTGCAACAATATTAAGAGGTTTCAAGAGGAAGATGGCCTAGGTAGAACTGACATGTTAGTTTAAATTCAGATGCTTCCTACATAATAAAACTACACACAAATGTACAGACATGAAAACTGTTAAAATTTATCACCAGTAATATTATAGATGATTATATTTGGCACCTTGTGCAGAACATACCTATGACACAGGAATTACCATCTAAATGACTCCCACAGAGATGATAGAATGTATTTATTAAGTAGCTGACAAGCTGATAACAAAGACTGATATAACTGTAACTCCAGGTTTGTTGATTTAAAATAACAATTCTACATAAACATTATGCATGAACATAAGCCTGAAGACTGTTGAGGGTTTTTTGTTTGTTTCGTTATTTTTTTTAATTTTAGCAAAGAACAGGTATAAATGACATGTCCTGGAATAAACTTAGACTGGAAACTGCTTCCTTAACTATTAGACAAGGAAGTAGAATTACCTCTGAGGAGGATGAGTCAGAGCAAAATTCATTAATTTAAAATGAAATGCATCACTTTATGAAGGTTTATTTGGCACGGTTACCTACAGCAATGGAGGGCTGTACTTGGTGATCCAGGGAACCTTTTCAGTCCCTGTATTTGTAAGGATTCTGTAGAAATTCCTCTTCAGCTGTGAGTTTACAATATGATGCACTGTCAGGTTCCCGAGGAGACTGTTTATCTTAGTGATGCTTAGAGGTATATGATGCATATAGGTATGTGCAATGCCATCCAAACTGAGATGATACTTGTCCAAATGTTAAATCTTCCAGGTATTTATATATATTTTCTTGGTACATTTTGCTTTCCTGTGATGAATCACACAAGCTGTATAACATGGAGCTGAAACCCAAGTGCAGGTTACTGCCATGAGCTGGTGGCACAGATTCCCCTTTTCCACTGTTCTCAAGGAAATTTAATGCAGTAGCTAAGGCTGAACCCTGGGAGGTCACTGCTGTCACTGAGAGATCTGGATGTTGGGTTACAGTGGCAAAAGGTGGTGTTCAAATACAGGGAAAGTGTTTGGAGCCTGTTCTTTTGTTTACTCAATTGGGAAGAAACTCCTTACCCTGAAGTAACAGGAAATTAAAAAGAGCTTGGTTGTACCATTTTTATTACACAAGGCTTTAATCATGTAAGCCCTGGTGCAATTTTGGGAATATAAATAGTTATGGACTGAAGCTGCTGTTTTATTTTTTTAGCATTTTGTCCCAGCTGTTAGTAAAGAAGGGGTCCAGATAAAATTAGTTATTTTCTTATTTCTGTTGTGCTAGGAATTGCTCAACCCAACACTGTGTATGTCTATAAACACACCTTGCACATGAAAAAGACAACTGTTGTTTCAGGCTGCAACTTAATTCAGCAGAATCTTGAGGAAGGGATGGTACATCACAAGCACAACTCTGTGTCATCCCTGAAATGGCCATTTGAGACATTACGAGATGAATTCTCTTCTGTTTTCTCCTCTCTCTTCCCATGGGAGATTATCATGGCTTGATTCTGTTTCCTGCCACATGGGAAAACCCCAAACCAGACCACAGATTTACCAGATAACTGCACAAGTATAAAGCAAGAAAAACTGGGTGCAACTACTGTGAACAGAAGGTGCAAAGATCAACAC